TGTGCCGAGAAGGACCTGGGAGTGCTGGTGGACAACAAGTTGAGCATGAGGCAGCAGTGTGCCCTTGTGGCCAGGAGGGCCAATGGTCTCCCGGGTTGCCTTAGGCAGAGTGTTGCCAGCAGGTGGAGGGAGGTGATCCTGCCCCTCTCCTCAGCCCTGGGGAGGCCACAGCTGGAGTACTGTGTCCAATTCTGGGCTGCTCCCCAGGACAAGAGAGGCATGGCACTACTGGAGAGAGTCCAGCGGAGGCCTGGGAAGATGATGAGGGGACTGGAGCATGTCTCCTGTGAAGAAAGGCTGCGAGAGCTGGGCCTGTTGAGCCTGGAGGAGAGAAGACTGAGCGGGGATCTCATCAATGCCTACAAGTATCTGAAGAGGGGGGTGTCAAGAGGATGAGGTCAGACTCTTCTCCGCGGTGCCCAGCGATAGGACGAGAGGCAACGGGCGCAAACTGAACCACAGGCAGTTCTATCTGAACATGAGGAAAAACTTGGGTAACTGAGCACTGGAAGAGGTTGCCCAGAAAGGTTGTGGAGTGATATTCAGAACTCGCCTGGATGCGATCCTGGGCAAAGTGCTCTAGAGGACCCTGCTTGAGCAGGGGGGTTGGACTAGCTGATCTCCAGAGGTCTCTTCCAGCCTCAACCATTCTATGATTCTGTGTGTGATTCTGTGATCCAGGGCCTCCTAGCTGGATCTGGGGACATTCAGCTAGATCTGGGCATTCTTGGCTGGACCTGGGGACTCATGGCTAAATCCCATTGCACACACACCACAAGCTGCAGCAGACGAGAACCTGGGGACTCATGGCTAAATCCCATTGCAGACGAGAACAAGGTAACAGGCTCAAGCACACACCCTGCTTTGTGCAACATTCATTATCTGGTTCATTAGGTGCTCGAACACTGCTGGCACTGCCTTACCCTGTGCGCTCCATGGCGTGGGCACTGCTGCCTAAGGCCCCTGCATTGGCCAGCCCTGTGTGGAGATGAATCAGGCCTTGGGGCAGGTGAACTGTGTCTGAGTTGGATGTTGGGAGGAAAGAGTCATCTTGGGGTTAGGGCAGCCAAATGCCACCAGATCATAGAAGCTGGCTGCGAGCTTGCCTCTGCCATCATGTTCCTCCATGATGCCAGGGAAATCACATAAGCAGCAGGGCTGCAGAGGCTCTGCCCCTGTGGACTAGCCTGCACCCCTGCCCACTCAGCCCTCATGGAGGCCCTTGCATGCAGCCACACTGTTATGTTGGCATCACTAGGCACACAGGCAGGCAGCGCCAGCCCAGAAAAACTGGAGGTTGGGAAGGGGCAGCCCATGCAAGGAGGGTCCTTGTGCAGCCCCATGTGCTCATGCAGCCTTGGGAGCTGCATGCATGGCCATGTGAGAGTGTGCAGCCAGGCAAAAGCATTTCCATCTGTGAGTGTGCAGCAGTGTGGGAGCATGCAGTCATGTGAGAGCATGTAGCAGTGTGGGAGCATGGGCTCATGTGAGAGTGCATGGTCATGTCACAGCATACAGCCATGTGAGAGCAGGCAGGTGTTTGAATGTGTGCAGCCATGTGAGAATACGCAGACCTGTGAGATCTTGCAGGTGTGTGAGAGCATGTGGGTGTGTGAGCGCATGCAGCCCTGTGAGAGCATGTGACCATGTGAGAGCATGCAGGCATCTGAGAGCTTGCAGGCATGTGAGAGTGTGTGGCCGTGTGAGAGCATGCAGGCATGTAAGAGCGTGCGGCTATGTGGGATCATGCTGGCATCTGAGTGCATGCAGGCATGTGAATGTACAGCCAGGTTAGCATGTGCAGGTATGTAAGAGTATGCAGTCGTGTGAGCATGTGCAGCAGCATGAGTGGGTGCATGCATGTGAGTGCATGGAGGCATGTGAGAGCATCCAGGCATGTGTATGTGTGTCAGCATTTAACAGCAGGTGGCTGTGTGAGAGCACACAGGCACGTGAGAGTGTGCAGGCAAGTGGGAGCATGCAACTTTGTGGGAGCACGGAACAGCATGCAGGTGTGTTAGTGCATATGGGCATGTGAGAGCACACAGGTGTGTAAGAGCGTGAGGCCATGTGAGAGCAGGCAGGTGTGTTGGTGCATGCAGTTGTGTGAGGGTGCAAAGGTGTGTGAGACTGTTCAACTGTGTGAGAGCAGGCAGGCACACAAGTGCATACAGGCATGTAAGAGCATGCAACCATGTGAGAACATGTAGCCATGTTACAGCATGCAGGTGTGTTAGCAAGTGCAGGCATGGGAGAGCACACAGGAATTTGCATGCATGCAGCTGTGTGAGAGCATGTGGCCACATGAGTGTGCATGCGTGTGAGAGCATGCAGGTGTGTGAGCATGTGTAGCTGTAAAAGCATGCAGGTATGTGATTACATGCAGCCCTGTGAGAGTCCACAGGTGTGTGAGTGTGGGCATGTCACAGCGTGGAGGCATGCAAGAGCATGTGACTATGAGAGAGCATGCACTCCTGTGAGTGGGTGCAGCCCTGTGAGTGCATACAGGCATGTGAAAGATTGCAGCCATGTGTGTGCGTGCGACAGTGTGAGTGGGTGCATGCATGTGAGAGCATGCAGCCATGTGAGAGCATGGGGCTGCCTGTCAGCGTGGAGCTGTGTGAGAGTACGCAGGTGTGTGTGAGCATTCCACCGTGTGAGACTATGCAGGCATGTGAGAACAGATGGGTATGTGATAGTGTCCAGGTATTTGAAGGTGTGCAACCATGTGAATGTGTGGGTGTGTGAGAGTTTGTAACCCTATGTGAGGGTGCAGCCATGTGAAAGCGTGCAGACTTGTGAGAGCCTGAAGCCATGTGAGACTGTGTGGCTGTGTAAGAGCATAGAGGCATGTGTCTGTATGACTGTCCGTGTCCATGAGAGAGCGTAAGCCTGTGAGAGAGTGTGTGGCCACGTGAGCTCATGCAGCCACATGAGTGCATGCAGCCATGTGAGCATGCAGTTGTGTGAGTACATGCAGCATGCAGGCCTGTGAGAGCGTGCAAGCATGTGAGCACACGCAGCCACGTGAGAGTGTGAGGCCATGTTTGAGTGTGCAGCTGTGTGACAGCATGCAGTCACGTAAGAGCGTCTGGCCCTGTGACAGTACATAGGCCTGTGAGAGCACAGGCCATGTGAGAGCATGACAGCGAGTGGGCATGTGAGAGTGTGCAGCCATGTGAGAGCATCTGACCCTTTGAAAGAGTGCAGCTGTATGACAGCGGGCAGGTGTGCGCACGCGTGCAGCCATGTGAGAGTGTGTAGCCGCATGAGATGGTCCAACTGTGTGCAAGTCTGTGCAGAGCTGAGCGCATGGGTGTGTCAGAGCATGGAGGCATGTGAAAACATGCGACTGTACCAGAGCGTGTGGCTGTATGCGTGCATGGAGGCGTGAGACCGTGTGAGAGCATTCGGCAGTGTGAGAGTGTGCTGGCAGGTGAATGAGTACAGGCGTGTCAGGGCTTGGAGATGTATGACAGCATGCAGGCATCCAAGTGTGTGTGACTGTCTGAGAGCATGGAGGCATGTGAGTACATGCAGGAATGTGAGTGTGTGCAGCTGTGTGAGAGGGTGGAGGCGTGCGAGAGCATGCAGGTGTGTGCTTCCATTTGGGAAAGTGTGCACACATGTGAGAGCCTGTACTGGCGTGAGAATGTGAAGGCATGTGAGCATGTGCAGCACTGTGAGTGGGTACAGGTGTGTGAGCACGTGCAGATGTAGGAGAGCTTGAAGGCATGTGCATGCATGTGGCCACATGAGAGCATGTGTGTATGCGTCATGTGTGTCATTGGGTTCCTGTTTGCACTTATGCGTATGTGCAGGTCTGTGCATGCACAGTTGTGTGTGTACTTGTGTCTATGTGTGCACACTGTGCACATGAGGTGTAGTTATGTAAGATGTTGTGTGCATGCAGTTTTGTGGCTCTTTGTGTGGAGTTCTGCCTGCCGATGTGCAGCTGTGTATGTTCACTTGTGTGTAGTTGAGTATGCGCATTTGCAATTTTGCATGTAGCCACATGTTTTTGGTGTTCATGTATTTGTGTGTGTTTATGTATGGCTGTTTGTGTAGATGTGTGCAGGTCTTTGTGTGCAGGTTTGAGTGTGCAGTTTGTGTGCACGTGCAGCAGTGTGTTTGTGCGTGCATGCAACTGTGTGGCTGTGTGCAGCTATGTGCAGGTAGGTGGAGGGGTACAGGTGTGTCTGTGTAGTTGTGTCTGTACATGCAGGGGTGTGTGCCTGCTGGGGAATGCATGTGTGTATGTAGCAAGCTGTGTGTGTGCAGGGATGGGTGAGTACATGCAGGTACATATGTGTGCAGTCATGTTGGTGTGCAGCCTCTGTGGGTGCATGTGCAGTTACATGTTTGCATGCAGCTGTGTGCATGCAACTGTGTGTGTGCATGGGACTGTGTGCAGACTTGTGTATGTGCAGTTCCATGTGTGTTCTGCTGTGTGTATAGTCTGTGTGTGCATACGTACAGCTGTGTGGCTTTGCAGGCATGTGCATGTGTGTTCATTTGTGTATATGCAGCTGTGTGCACACTGCTGTGTCTGTCATTGCCATTGTGCGCCTATGGTGTTGTATGCGCAGTTCTATGCATGCACTGTTTTGTGTGTGTGTGTGTGTGTACATGTGCACAATTATGTGTGTAGCTGTGTGTGTGTAGTTCTGCCTGCCTGTGTGCAATTGTGAGTGTGTGCAGGTGTATATGTGCATGTCCAGGTGTGTGTGTGTGTACCAGGATATATTTGTGCATGTGCATGTGTGTGCACACCTGAGTATGCAGATGTGTGCGCAATTGTGTGTGCATGCAGTTGTGTATGTGCAGATGTGTATACAGGAGGATGTGTATGTGTCCAGTCTGTGTGCATGTGGGTGTATTTTCATGCATGTGAGGGATTGTGCACACTTGTACATGTGCACGTATGTGTGTATGCAGGTAGGCATGCATGTACATGGGTTGGCATGTGTTTGCATGCATATGTGCGTGCACCTGTGTGTGCACGTGCATGCATGTATGTGTGACTCTGTGTGCACCTGTGTGTGTGTGTGTGTGTGCGCACGCGCGCACAGGTGTGTCCATGCACAAGTGTGTTTGTGTGTGTGCCTGTGGTTGTGCATGTACGCATGACCGTGTGTGCATATTTGTGTGTGTGTGTGTGTACATTTGTGTGTGTGTGTGTGTGCATATGCATATGCATGTGGGTCTGCATGCATATGCACGCATGTGTGCTTCTGTGCATGTGTGTGCATATGTATGCACCTGCTTGCATGTGTGCATATGCTCACGCACGTGTGTACGTGTGTGTACGTGTGTGTGTGTGTGTGTGTGCCCGCGCCTGCTTACATGAGCGTGTGTGTGTGTGCATATGCACTTGTGCATGTGTGTCTTCTTGTGTGTGCATGTGAAGGCGTGTGTGTGTGTGCACGTATGCGTGCACTTGTGCGTGTTTGTGCAAACATATGTGTACCTGTCTGCATGTGTGGACATGCGCAAGTGTGTGTGTGTGTGTGTACATGTGCGTGTTTGCGCCTGGGTGTGCATGTGCGTGTGTGGACCTATGCGTGCGGGCCTGTGTGTGTACCTATCTGTGCACGCGAGTATGCCTGTGTGCGCATGTGTAGGCACATGTGCAGGCGTGCGCGCGCGCCGCTGCGTGCGTGCGCGCGTGCCCC